TATATAATTTTTCGTTAAGTTTAAGGGAAACTTTTCTATCACACAAAAAGCCTTAAATTATCAGCAATCTCCATGCATCTTCTAATTAACTCTAAAGTATGATCAATAGATTTGAAATGAAATGGAAGAAATATTACCTTCAACGCCGATATGATGCGACATGAAGGGGCTGTTTGGATGCCAGATTTAGGGTAGATTTATGTGATTTGGTCGAAGAAGCGCGAAGGGGAGAAAACTATCTTCACAGCGAGCAAGCTCTTATTGTTGCTTCCGATCAAAATGCCGATCCAATAGGAAGGGAATGTCTTCGTCGAAGGAGAGAAATCGAACAATGATGAAGAAGGCGAACAACGAAGATGGGACCGGAGAAGAACAATTACAAAGAAAATTTGGAGATGACAGACAAGCAAATTGAAGGAATGTCGTCTAAGGAGACGATGTCACATGGTTGTCGAAGGAATGTCTACGGGCATGACAGCAGAATAGAATTAGAGCGAATGAAAAAAATAATGAGGATGTCAGCTTAGATAGAAGTGTTTATGAAGGATTTGCGGCGGATTATCCAAAAAAAAAAATCCGATGCAAATCAATCACAAAATAAATGGTGAAAATTTTCGTCGCAAATCCGCCTCTATTTTAGAGAAAAAATTTTCCGTCGTAAAGTCCGCCGCAATTATTGAATTTCCTGTAACACATTGCATAAGGAAAGGGTTTCCTCTTTCTTTTGTCATGTTTACTATTGTAATGAATGCCTTTTCTAGACCCACGGAGACTAATGATTTCAATTCTACATTTTCCTGCATTTTCTAAAAGGAATGCTAGAGTCTCTGACCTCATATACATCGATGTCCTTTTTCTATTTTGTATGGCCTCTTATTCCAATCTCTCTGTCCTAGTGTCTATCCTAAATACTTTCAATAATTAGACTAGTCTCATTGCTAACATTAATAAATCTATTATTTGCTTCTCCAAATCTATGAACCCTTTAGAAAAGATCTTCACTCAAAGATTTTGGGACTTACTATTAAAGCTCTTCCTAGGGATTATCTAGGTATTACCCTTTCCACTAGATTGAATCAATCTTTAAATGATGAATAAGCTTATGGATGTTTGGAAGGGTGGAAGCAAAAGGTTCTCTCCTTTGATGGGAGATTCTAATTACTCTATTTTACCATATGGAATTATCTCACCTATTTTTTTAAATCCTTGGCTTATTTGGGTCTCTCTCATTGAGAAAATTGGGGCACAAAATTTTTCATGTTTTTCAACGTGATCAGAAAACTAGGTTATCTTAATTCATTAGCAACCTTCAATGATGATTACCATTTATGATTCTTCTATATCTTTCTTTTGGATTGGAAGAGATTCTATTAATAATGGGGAATTATACTCTCAAATGTTTCATGAGATTCCCAAAACTGTGTGCCATAAATATATTTGATTTAAAGGGTATGCTATTAACTAAGCTTTTCATGATTATAAATTTATTGAGGGTGGCCTAAAAATTACTGATTACTTCATGTTTTGGTGAATCATAGTTTTGTGTTATACAAAAATTATAATGAAAGCCAAACGCGTCTAATTTTTTATTAAGAACTCTTTACCAGGCTTCTTTAAAAATGCGCATCTAATGGGGAATTTTTTTACTTGGGAGAATCTTTCAATCAGGTTTTAAATCAATTTGATACTATAAGATTATTCCTTGTTACTGTTCATATTACATCTTATTTTATCTAGCAAGAATGAAACAATAGAATTTTGAAGAATAAGGTGACAAATGGCCACTCCTTGTTCTAACAAATCTATTTTCTATTAGATTCAAAAGTAAGATATGGAATATCGAGGTTACTCTCCCAAGTAGTATCACTCAATTATAGTTCATTTAATGTAATTAATTATATACTTTTTTTCACTGTTTGGTTGCTTGATGGTTTATTGCCTCTCTATTATATGTGAAGTTGTGGTTACTAGATGTATTATATATTAATTTATTAGATTTTGGGGTATTTTTTAGCCTATTTTTTATTTTATTGCGCTAATTTTCTCATCAATTGTATGTAATTGTAATCTAAGCAATCTTTTTTTTTTCTTTTCTCCCTTTTTTAATCTCTTGGCAGTTTTTAGGAGTAGAAATTAGAATAATATTATAATTTAGATTATTGTTAATAAAAAATGCTCGGTGTGGCTCCTTGAAGAATAAAATCGATCAGAGGGCCATTATATAAGGAACCATTGAATAGGAAGAAAATTAAAATTATGAACCTTGTAAGAGAAGATTTATCTTTGTGTTCTTCATGTTCTTATGCTTTTAGCCTCAATATAGATGAAGAATGTGAAAATGTCACTTGTTTCCTTATTTCAGGTATATTATAAATTATGATCGTAATATCCAATGGATGCCTAAGTATTAAAGCCTCCATGAAGATATCATCATCTTCAACTTGTATGCTCACGACACCATCTACTTTTGCATTTAGTATATCCAACAGTAAAAGATGGTGAAACAATTGGTCTTGCATCATCCTCATTTGCACAAAAGTTTTCAATTAAAATCATGTTTTCAGTAATAAACACATATATGATAGATCAATGTTGCATGGATATTGATATCTCATTCAAGAGAAAAATAAATAAATATAATAATTCATTAATAGATTAGTTGGAGGAATATAAATTATGGACTATGCTCCACCAAAACAGTACATCATCTCTAGTTTCAAATTAAATTGTTTTTAATCAACATATATTATTTTTATATAAGTTCTATATGATCTTCAAAGAATACTTATTTGAATTACTGATCATTTACTCTGTTTCTGATTTAATTTCATTATTTTTTTTCTCCTCTATACAGTACAAACTTATTGATATGTTATTCAACTTCAAAAAATAATTAACCTAGACATAGTTTTGTTTTTATTAGAATATATGTTCTAACATTATTCAAAGCATGATCAAACATGATTTGAACATTATTCAAATAAGTATTTGAATCAAATACAAGCACCGCAGAGCCACGGTGGGGGCATGTGCCTCCACTGGCCCGCTAAAATCGATATGAGGTGGTTGGGGAAGGAGAACTTCAAGGTGGTTTTTTGTCCGGACGTAATAACTTTTCGTCAAGAGTAATTATTGTGTCTGGACACCGAATGCGTCTAGAGACCAATAACAACGCGACACGTCACCTGGAGCTCGGTACCGAGCACTCGATATTGCTCGGTATACGTCCAAATTTTCTGTTTTTTATCCGGACGTAATAACTTTTTTTCAAGGTGAGTGCAGAGCATGGGACGCTTTTTATTAAAGGAGAAGTTGAAGTGGATGCAGGGATGAGTAGAGCCACCGAAGGTACAGTACCATGATAGTTTTGGCAGCTCTACAAATTGGATGCTATTAAGGCGGAGATGAAGAATGGAGTGCTAAAGGTTATTATGTCCACTGTGGAAAAATGTAAAAAGCTGGTCCCCTTAAGGCTTTGTTTGTTTGAGCGTTTTTTCGCCTTTTTCATTTTCGGGAATGGAGTAATTTTTTTGTGTTGTTTGGTTCGTCAAATCACATTCCCAATAACTCTTTTTTTTCATTTTTCTACAGTTTTGAGAAAACTTTTTATATATGCTTCTCCGTTACAAAACTCCATTTTCTGAACTAAAGTTTTTTAAAACTGTCTTTTACAAAAGCACCAAAAAAACAAACGAAGCCTAAGTCTGCCGCAATCTTTTTCAATCCTTAGAGCGTCATTTACAGTTTCTTATTTTTCTTGGCCCTTCATAAAAATGCAATCAAAACCAGCACATTGCATATGCCTAACTAAAATAAAAGTAGTTTCATGGAGCAGTCTGAGCACTTTGATGCGAGAATAAAACTAGTTTCAACATACATTGGATCTTTCAAGAGTTCATGGATGAATGATTTTTTAGTTAAATCTACGCAAATTAAGAACAATGACACCATATCATACCATTTCTATAGGAATGATAGGATCCTAAATTCTAATTGAGCACTATAGCTACTCAAACTCTCAAAGAAGAAACAAAAACTACAATAAAACAAATATTTTTGGAGATCGTTTTGACAATTTTATTGTTTTCTAAATTTAGTTTCATTTTATTTATTAGTTTTTCATTTATAAGAAGTTTAAATACATATTTAAGGTATGTAAACAAAAATAATTATATACTTAGCTTGCAATTTTTTTCATTTTTTTTAGGAGAGATATACCTAAAAATTCTTTTTGGATATAATTATCTCTAATGAGATATAACTCATTATTTATGGACAACTTATTAGACTGGAAATTAAACCCTAAAATTTTAGTGGCCACTATTTTTTCGTTAGTTTATTATTAAATTCTACAAAACTATATGAAAAATTTTAGTATAAAGTTTTCATATATGTCACAAATTTACAAGTAACATTCTTGAATGTTTAATTATTAAATAAAAAAAATAAAATCAATAACGTGAAAATAATTAAGAATACAATAAAAATTATAAATTTGTGCTCCCATTAATAAAATTTTGTGGCTCCACTCCTTGTACAAGCATGGCTTGAACAATATTTCAACAAGGTTCAAATGTAACTAAAAAATATGTTCTAACAAAGTTTGAAACACTATCTTCGACATTCTAACTTTGTGTTATAATTTCATTAATATATATGACCTAGTTTATGTAAAATAATAAAAATAATTAAGAAAATATTATTCATATCTACAAAAATCATTTTTTTTTATTAAACTTTATTAGTGCGGGAAAAAATCTTCAACAAAAGGATGATAATATTAATAAAGAAAGTTGAAGTATGAAAGATGTCATGTTATTCTTCCTATACATTGGGAATATAAATATAAAAAGTTATTTTAATTAAAATTTAATTTTTAAATATATTTTCTTAAAAAATTAATATATATAAATTTAATTTTCTCTCCTACTATTCTTTAAAAATAAAACTTACATTTACCAATTTCAAGAAAAACTATCATAATAGGCAGGTCTCGTATATATATATATATATATAAAATTTTGAGACATAAATTTAAATTTCTCACTTACTCAAAATTACAACCTACATATACAATTTCAAGAAAACCCGCCACAATCGGCGGTCGCCTAGTCCAGCCGAAGCCACAGGTCATGCTAAATCTCTTATAGTCTCGTCACGCACTCTTGATTTAGGGATTCTCACCTTCGATCTGGTTTCTCCTCAGATCCCCCCTCTTTATCGGATATCTCAGCTGCCCAAGCACCGCAAGAAGCCAAGTTAGGGTTTTTGATTCTGACTAGTTCATGGCGATGCATGCAGGGATGGGGCTTTCTAAAGTTGCGCTTTTGATAGGGGCTGGTAATCCCACTGTTATTGTTCTGCTTCTTCAATACCTAGTAGTTATTTCTTTCCGTGATCTGACGATCTTGGAATATGATGGCTGTACTGTACTTGTTCAATAGGATACACTGGCTCAATCCTCGTGCGCAACGGCAAGCTTTCTGATATCTTAGCCGAGCTTCAGGTGTAATTATTCGTCCTGTTGTTTCTTGCTATTGGTCTGTTTATTTTTCTTGGAATTGATCGTTTAACTTTATATGAGAACTTCATTGGATATATTGAACAAGTTATCCCTATGAAATTTGTGGTTTTAATGTTTTTCAGTGACTCGGTTGAATATGCTGAATCTATCATGTCATTGTGAACATCTATTGAATGGATTGTTTGTGATGCATTCAAAAATTATTTGCAGACTTTGTTGAAGTCCACCGAGGGTTCTGATTCAGATTCTGCGGATTCTGTTGCTCAACAGGTTTTATGCCTTACTTTTGTTTATGGCCCTAGCATAATTATTTTACATTGGCCTTCCATTTATGTACCTATTTTATGATTGAATTTTACCCCAGTTATGAATAGTTGTTTTATTGTGCTCGTTTGTAATTAACAAATTCAAACTTTATTTTTAAAGCTATAAGAGAAAGTTGGTTGTAGGGTTTTATGCGTGAAAAAATGAATAGTCGATTGAATGAATCATCCTATTTGCATTACTTTTTAGTTATTTACTTATTCTATATTGCACCTTTGGAATCTCTGCTATTTGGATTTGGTTCATGCATAACAAACATGGCAGTTCCTGAATTGTTTTTTAATCAATCATTCATTCCTACACTTATGGTTCCTTAGCTAATTTAAAAATATTTTTCACGAACCAAGAAAATTTTTTTGAGTAACGGTCACCAATATAGAATATGGGCGAAATGTACAATATTTGCTAATTGTGTTCATGGAGAACAGATTCGATGTTTTGGTGGTTAGTTTCTAGTTATTCTATTTTCTTCTCATTTTTGCCATTACATTAATATCACTGATGTCATTCATGCCTTGCTGCATGTCTACTGATTGTACTAATACAGTGTTCTATTCATGATCTTGCAGGTCAGCAGACTGGCCATGGAGATTCGACAACTTGCTTCAGCACGTTCAATTACTGTTGTGAATGGAGGTTCAGGGCAAGGTTTGTGCTTTAGTGATGAATATTAAGTAGAAAATTCATATTCAAAGTATGTCATTCAGGACATGGTTATTTGCATAAACTCCTTGTGTTTATTTTTATAATTTTGGATTGTTCCATAACCTGTCTGCATTGCTTGATAATTGAAACTTGCATTTCTCTTGAGTATTGCTACTGGATAAATATCTCAATTATTTTTGTATGACAGCTTGTTTAGTCTTTTATTGTCTAAATATACGATCTCTAGGAAGATATCCAATGAATTTCTCTTCCCAAATAATTGGAATAAGGCCAGGGATTTGATCTCTAGAAAACTAAAATCTATTTGAAGAAAATAGGAATGTACCATAAGCATGATAATATTTTAGTTATTTAATATCTTCTATTCACATTGCTCATTCCAGTATTTTTTTTGCTTCTATGATAATGTGAATTCTTTATAGTTTATGTAAGATGCTTAATTCAGTGGTCATCTATCCAGGAAATGTCACATCTTTTTTGGTGCCGGCTGCAACATTGGGGGCTGTAGGCTATGGCTATATGTGGTGGAAGGTACAGTTGATTCAGCATATATTCATAATTTATTCTACTCAGAAATTATAATTTTTTTTGTATGTTTCCATGTGGGGCCTTTTTGGCTGCTTACAAGTGAGAAGAAGAGCCACGTCCCTATTTATCAGTGAATGATAAGGAGGCCACTTCTAAAAGGGTTGTTTGGTTGTGGATGAAATGGAAGCTTTTAGTAATCCATATATACATACATGCAAGCCACATGCACACATGCGCTCATGCTGCTGCAATCACTGCTAATATTTATATGTTGTAATCAGTCAATTAATTATAATATTATGCATTGTACATTATAATAAATATCTAACGTTTGTTGCATATAATTTATTTTATATGCATTACTAAATATATTCTAAATATTATGCACTTAAAAAAATTAAAAATAATAATATCTAATACATTATATAGTTTATGTTATATATTTAATATATTATTTATTGTATAATCTTATAATTTCACAAGAAGGTGAGTAAAGTCAAATAGCTAAGAATAATGCTTGTCACTTCTTGCTAAAGAAATCACTTCCCATTTCTCCCCTCAACCAAACAGCAAAAGTGGTCCACGTCCTCATTGGACGCTTCACACTTTTTTACACATGCAATCAACAATCCTTTGATGGGAGTATTATATTTGTTTTCTACAGCCCAGGAACTATAAGTTGCATTACCTATGAGAGTTAAATCTTTAACCTAGGCAATACATGCTGACATATTTTGATTGTCTGAGGCTGAAAGATGATTGATACGGTATTTCTGTTTGAATGTGTTCTTTTAATCTTAAGAAAAAAGTTTAGTTTTTAATTAAAGCAAATTATTGTAAGTACATGATTATGGTGCTAAGATTATGAATTTGGGAGTTTGATTTGATAACCTTTTTGGGAAATGGTTAGCCGATCTGAGGTTTCATTCTATCAGTATTGTAGAGTATTGTTGTACTTTTTGGTTAAATTATATGAATATATGCAACTGATCACAAGCAGATGGCAGTCTAACTTAAAATTGTGAGTTGTGGTTCAATAGGATTAGCATATTAAAAATTGCACATAATACCCAGCTTGAGAACAAAAAATTCTTTTGAAGGGCTCCAGAATGTGTAATTAGCTGTGTGATTTGTAATCTATTTGGTATTGCATTGTTTGGTGGAGAAGTACTAATCCTTTTATTTTTAAATCGTACAGGGCCTTTCTTTCTCTGATCTTATGTATGTTACTAAGCATAGCATGGCAAATGCTGTTTCAAGCATGACAAAGCATCTGGAGCAAGTCTCAAATGCTCTTGCTGTAAGCCTGTCTTACTTCTCAGGAAATTTGTTCTAATATGTTATTCTTGGATGACTTTTTGTGAATGTGTTACAATTGGATCTATTTGCATGCCATGATAGCATGATGTTCTATCTACATTCATCGTTGGATCTCTTGTTTTCTAAATTCTTCATGAACTGTTTTCTTAAGGTGCAATATGAAGCGTGAGTTTTTTTTTTTCCTTGAAACTTTAATTTGCGAATGCGAAGTGCAAAGAACAAATAAAATAGTACTTTTGTTAAGTAACGCATTCATGAATGGTATATCTTATATGCGCACACTTCATTAATTTAATTCACTTTTTTTTAGCTAAAAACAAATCCTGTAATACTTCTAACAGGTTAAATAAGACAAGAAACAGTGAAACACCAATTCTAGATAACTTTAAGGACGTTCATTTCTCATAAATAAATTGGTCCAATAAAATATGGTTAACTAACAAAACAAATAAAATTAAGCTCTAAATATAATGAAAAAAGGTGTACGTTTCATATCAAATATAAAGATCACATTCGAAGCTCAACCTGTAGATTCCTGCAAGTAGTAAGGGATATGAATGCAACATGAAGCATAAGTATAAGACCAAGAGTTATTTTAAACTTAAGACGAGCATTCAAAAATCAAAATGATATTCAGGTCGCATAAAGCAAGCGATAACTTTTTGCAAAAAAAATAAGAAAAAGGAAAAAGAAAAATGGGTCATGTGTAGTCGTTAATGATAATAGAGAAAATGAAATAATCAACTCCATCAGGCAAAAATCCTTCATCTTGAAATCCTTCCTCTATATCCTTTGATTCATCATCATTATTTGCATTGGCCTCTAGTTCATCATCTTCTGCTTCTATTTCTTGACTAACAATCAAAACTTTTAGATTCCTTTTGATTTTATATTGTAAGTTTTAAAGAAAACCTTTACTTAACTAGTACAGTAAATTCATTAATTTTCCACCATGCGAGGCCATTATATTAAATGCTCCTTTATGGCATCCCTCATTTCCCCAGCCATTCATGCATATTTCAAAACACTTGTCAATACACTATAGGACAATTGAGTCATTAGTAATTTTTTAATCCCTCAAGTTGAGTTTGCTTCTATTCAATGAACACATTTTTTCTAGATTTTTTCAACTAATTTAAGGTATTATCATCATCCTAATTAGCTTTACCAGAACTACTTGGGTCTAGCTCGATGAATTCTCATTTTTTCTTTAACTATTTTAGGATATATATCATTTTCTTGTTGAGTGTTGCATAAGGGGAAACCCTATTTTTTGCTGGTCCTTTTGAACAGCTTATATTTATGTCACTGTCTACACTTTTTCTTTTATAATCCTTTGGCACTAAATGTATCTACTTGTCTAATGATATTCTTTTTGCTCTCTTTGTATATTTCCGAACCACTTGAAGTTTATTTTCATCTACCTTATCTTTATTAGATACATCTCTAATCATCTATTAATATAATAATTTTTTAAATTTATTTTTATGAATTTCATCTCAACTGCATCTGAACATTCACATTTTTGCCATACCCGACTTAGTTATTTATAATTTTTTTGCTGCTTAACTCTTGAATCTACACAACATAACTGAGCTTTTTGTAATTTAATAATATTTATCTTTAAATTCATCCTCAGACATTTTTCCATTTTAACCATCTAGTTTGAACTCTACAATTTATAGTCTTAATTTTTTTATCTAGATCCTCATTCTTTTATATAATTAAACTACGATTCTTACTCAATCACACTTAGGCATCACTTTTTTTCTAATAATATTGGCTGATAATTACTAATATCACTCCCAACAAAACTGCATATCATATATTAAATTTTTATTTCATTAACTCTATGCCTAACACTGCCGTTGCCAGGTCCCAAGTCCTGGATGAGAAAAGTGGAGGGTTGCGTTAGGTAGTCGACAGCCAGCGTAAAACTTGTCGAATAAAAATGACATGAATCCTTTAAGAAATTGTGTTAATGCTAGGGCGTCCCCTGGAAGCGACGCGCTGTATGGCCTGAATACAGTGACAAGTGTGCAAGGGCCGCTGCACCGGCGCCCGGGTGCAGTGTTAAATAGGCAAGGGTTCCCGCATCAAGGACGGATGTGGGCAAAGAAGCTAGTCCATGATACTAAATTTAGGATAGGAACTTGGAATATAGGTTCCCTTACAGGTAAATTAATGGAGTTAATAGATATTATGATTCATAGGAAATTAAATATTTTATGCATTCAGGAAACTAAGTGGGTTGGAGAGAAGGCCAAGGAAATCGATAGTTTAGGATTTAAACTTTGGTATTCGGGTAGGAGATAT